CTGAAAACCCAAGTTCGAAGTGTGTCACACCCCGTTCCGAGGGGTACTTCTATTGGAAACTTGTTGAGTAAACTTGTTCAGCAGGGGGCGACAGGACCACTGCATAGCTGTCGCCAAAGAAGCTCTATGGAGCTGATCAGGAAATCAGTTCCGGACGCGGAACTAACGCACCTGCTACGGTTGAAACTGTTGCTCAAGCTGTTCACCCCACTTTTTCTTTAGCGAGCTGCCGCGCTTGAGTTCATTGCCACGCTTGTGTTCAAACAATTCAGTTCAGCCGACGATTCGCCATACTGTTCCCATCAAGTCAAGGTCTAATGCACTAACGTAGAGTTCTGACGCGTTTCTGACAACCACTGAAATTGAGGTTCCTTCACTGGAAACTTCAATCAAAGTGTAACCCTTCAAGTCAAAGGGATTCCTTCGAGTTTGTTTTGCTTCTTCCTCAAGCAGGGGCCAGTAGCCCGCTCATGAGTCTACTGCCAACGAAGCTGCTCATGAGTTGGGAGGATATCCGAGCTGATCAGTCCGACATACCTGCGATGATTGTGGTGTTGTCAAGCTGTCACTCCAATTTTCCAATGAAGGGCTAGTGCAATGGTCGCGCTCCGATCCATTTACCTTCAGGTTTCCTTGTACCTTGTACCTGTACTTCTTAGGAATATGGTCACTTAGGTTGCCGTGTCGCGAGCGGCATTCGGTTCAGCGCGCATTTCTTAAATGCGTCTCTCCTTAGTGAGAGCCCAGGGTGTACAAGGAGTGTCCCCTGTCGCCCCGTCGAACGAATTTTGTCACTGTTTCCATTGCTTCGGAAACGCACGTGCCCACAGTGGGCGGAGTCGGCTTGAGCCAAAGTCATTTGCCAAGACTTGCTGAGTGTTTGAATACAAGCAGGCAGCTCTCCGGCACGCCATTCGGTGAGCGGTCAATTCAGCTAGCCAGTCTGGCAGGGCCCGAGTAGACCGCAGCGGTCGCAGAACTTTTTGACCCACTCAGGTCACAGCCTTAAGCGCACACGCAGCGTACACATTTCAAACCAGGCTAGCTCTACCTAGGTCGCTTTAATCAGGTTTTGTTTCATCTGCTTTTGGCCCCTCCATTTGGTTCCCCTTTTCATCCTTCTCCTTTCACACACACTTTTTCTTTTCATATCTTTCTGGCTTCATGTTTCGTCACCTCATCCTTTTCCTCTTTTGAACACACACTGGTCCGATCCCTCGTGCGCACGCGCACCCGTACACGAAACCCAGGTCTGAGGTCGCCCAGGTTGTTATAAGGCGGCTTGGCTCATCTGGATGTCCTGGTCACTTGGTTCCTTTTCATCGCAACCACATACACCTTGTCTGTCTTGTCTTCCTGTCACGTCCCCTTTCGTTTGTCTCTTTGCACGGACACATGCACATTAGTCTAATCCTTAGTTGTCCATGCCTCCCCTTATGGGAGGCGTTTGTGTGTGTAACCCTTGGAGTCATAGGATTCCTTCGAATTTGTTGTGTTTCTTCCTCCAGCAGGGGGCAGTAGCCCGCTCATGAGTCTACTGCCAACGAAGCTGCTCATGAGTTGGGAGGATATCGGAGCTGATCACTCCGCCGTACCTGCGATGTTTGTGGTGTTCTCAGGCTGTCACTCCAATTTTCCAATGAAGGGCTAATGCATTCTGCAGACTTGCACGATACGTCGTCACCCTGTCGCGATTCCGCTTTTCGAGTTTGTGGGCCTCGGAGGTCCTCACATGTTGGCATGTTGAATTTCAGCCTTTGCGATTGTGGAACTCCGATCCATTTACCTTCAGGTTTCCTTGTACCCGTACTCTTAGGAATATGGTTACTTAGGTTGCCCTGTGGCCAGCGGCATTCAGTTCAGCACGCTTTTCTTAAGTGTGTGTGTGTGTGTGCTTGTGCGCAACTTTGCAGCTTGGGAAGCGCAACAAAGTTCTCGACCAAATTCCAATAGGACGCCCACCAGAGGCAAAATACAACGCGCTCTACACAGCTTCAAGCAAAATAGGGCTTCATTGCAGGAGAGCGAGCGCTCAACTCTGCTGAATCGTCGATCACTGATGAACAGACATGCCATCAAAGGCTCCACTAGAAAGACAACATGAGCAGCCAGAAACTTCGAAGTTTAGGACACGACCAGCCAAAACATCATCGGGGTGGCACGCTTGGGCGCCAAGCCAAAGCAAGCCAGCCAAGACAAGGCAATACGACGACAAGCCAAAGAGTTGCGTCACCAAAACGACACCTGGCTTGGCCTCAAAGCAATGTCCTTTCTACCATTCACAAGTTGCACAACTGAAGCTCACCCAGTTGATGCGTGTGTCCTCACCAAAAACAAAATAGATTTCATGAAGGCCTGCCTCGGACACTCGCCAATCCACATATCGTGGTGAAAGGTCGCCAAATCGCAAGTAAGGGCTCAGCATTGCTGTCCAAGCCTGCGGCGAAATGGCAACAATGACAAGTCCCAGCTGCTGGCCTATTCTCTCGGCACTTCAGGTTTGCGAACAAAAACTTCACGGTAGCTTCCGCCTTGTCTGCCCGGAAGCGTCCACCAGCCTCATCACGCGGATGAAGGCCTCCGCGAAACTACAATCCAACCCGCACCCCCTGTACCCACTGCGCAGCAAAGCTTTGCGTTTGACGCAACACTGGCCCAGGGCATATACTCTGCAAATCTCTGCAAGCAGACACGCAGCGCAACCCAAGTATACATTGCGCTAGGAATGTGGAATCTGCGCCCGAGCTTAAACCTGTGTGTAGTTTAAACGAACTCTGCATGTATACCTTACTTGCAAACGTCCTAGTGTATCACAAATGTTCCTACAAGGCATGTTTCAACCACAGCATTCGGTCACGAGGGCCTGCACAAGCAGCTGCAATGATAAAGGCTTCATCTACAAGGAACATTGTAAATTTTACCTCCAAAACCTCTCATCAGGGATCCAGTGATCTTTGCTATGTTTTTCTTGGGCGCGTAGTAAAAGGTTCTCGTTTATAGTCTGGGGGTCTGGGGGTTGGACCTGCATTTGCTTGGAGGGGTTTTGTGGATGGATTCGTCGGGGAAGGCTTTTGGAAGACGAGTCCTTCGATGGAATGGAGAAGCGTCCGATTCGTGCGAATACCGTGCAAGGGTGATCTCAAGTGTGAAGGTTGGCTTGCTGCGCAAACGCGCAGCGTTTCGTGAGCTGTGCTATTGGGATGGGCATTCGCAGGGGTGTGTCGCTATTGGGATTTGTGATTCAGGTCGTGGCCTCGAAGCTGTGTTTGCGTGATAAGTCTCAACTAAAACCGTGATTTTGGCGGAGCAGAATGTTTCGTGGTGCAAATTTTGCTGAAGACATAAACATGTCACGTCGTCATTTTTCGTGGCAGGCACAGTACTTTGTGCGTGTTGGGGGTGTGGAATCGTGAGATTGGGGCGTTTGGAGGTGAATGTCGCTGCACCACTGGGATTGGCATGTCGGCGGCTGTGGTTTTGAGGGGCTGGGAACGCAAAACTGCTTGGCAGGGACGTGTGCGCTGGAAGTGGCTGCTGGAAGCTCTGGCTTGCTTGACCTGAGAGCAGGTAATTGTGAAGTCGGATCACATGTGCAATACCTGGGGCAATAGAGTTGCTAGATTCTGCCCTGCGTTTGCCATGTAAAGCAGCCAACCAATTGTGAACGTGCGCTCAGACTTGGTTCAAAAAAGAACCCTTGAGCGTTTGCGGTACGAAAACGCTGCCCGAAGTGGCACGTGGAGCGGCGAACATACGTCAATGAGGTCAGGTTGCTGTCCCATCCGATTTTGGCACTGCTCAGACTGGTGGAAAGCCCGGTTGTGTGGCTCGTGCCATTGGGGGAAGGAAAACATGCCTGTGTAAACGCAGCGGTCGCTGGTGAGCGGGACGATCGGCGGTGTCATGTGCATCTAGTCTGTGGCACACTGTGCGACGAAATTACGTCTCTGATGGGGCTACGGCTACGCCATGCGGATTTGCGTGGCCTTGGTGGAAAGTCCGCGCGCTTGTGTCTGTGCCTGTTGGGGAACGGGAAACATGCGTGTGTAAACGTGGCCTGTCGCTGGTGAGCAGGTTAATTGAGATGCTTGGTGGTGTCACGTCACATGGCTGCATCTGTCTGTGGCACACGATGCTACCAAGTTACGTCTCTGACGTCTGATGTCGCTGTGCTATGCGGACTTGCATGGCCAGAGTTTCCCACAAGAGTGCCCTGCGAGAGTGCCCAAAAAGACTGTGCCCCAAGAGTGTCACGCAAGACTGTGCCACAAGAGTGGCCTACAAGAGTGTCCTACAGGAGTGTCGCACAAGAGAGTGCCCTATACAAGGGTGTCCCACAAGACTGTTACAAGAGTGTTCTACAAACAGTGTCCCAGAAGGGTGCCCCACAACACTGTGCTATAAGAGACTAAAGAACAGTGTCACCCCAGATTGTCCATCTTTGGAGAGTACCATGTGAGAGTGTCTGAGAGTGTTACAGTAAACATATCTGTGTTCATTCGGGTTCGTGGGTTCTATCAATTGTGTTTTGCATTTGCGTTGGCAAAAGTGCCCCCAAGTGAGGAAGTTGCATTGGCCACACAAGTGAGTAGAGGTGCTTGGAGAGGCCAGGGTTGACACCTGCCTATGCTGTTCAGCGCTACGGCATCATTTCCAGCATGTAAGCACAAGGTACAGCCTTGTGCCATGGGTACCTTCTTGTGAGACCCCAAAAAAAATCTTCGTAGAACAACAAACCATAAGCAGGCCAAAGTGTTTGGCAACAACGGCCTCATGTTCCACTGTTGTGAAGAGGGGTGGCGAAATTTGCTTTGGTTCTTGTAATCCGCCCAGCCCGGAACCACCATAGATAAGTCGATCACAACAGCATATATCAGCAAACTCTTGTATAAAGCGAGTGTTGCCATCTTTGCTGGCCGCACCTGCGACCCCAGAATAAGTAATTCATCTCACACCACAAATATAGATAGTAGACATGGGACGATCTATTGCTGAGTCAAAGGAAACTCTGAAACCTCTTGCATGAAAAACAAGAGGACTCTTTACCGCATGATCCACGCTGTTCCACACCCATGAGCCTGAATTCTTGAACACCCATACCTCATTCACCCACAAAGTAGTAGAGTAGTAGAGACCCTGCAGGGACTGGGTTGGAGGTTTGTGCAGAAACGTCAATTTTTCTGATTCTGACCATTCTGACCTGTCCTTTTCTTACTTTCAACCTTTCAGGCACTGCCTGGCGGGAAGTAGCAGCCCCATGCAGCATCCTTCAACCACTCTTCCAGTCTGCGCATGGCTGCATGCTCACCCATCGGCCAAAATCTCCGCATCTCATAAGCCCAGTCATCCTATGTGACAGGACGGCAAGACAAAAAAATCTCAGTGAAGCTCCTACGTGCGTCATGCAAAGCGGGGCAAGTGGCGAATGTGGTGCATTGTACACAATGTACGAAACATACGTTGGGAAAAAGATGTGTTGAGGGTGCATGCCAGAGCAGTCTTCCTTGCTCACTCAATCAAGCACGAGCAACACATGAGTTCTTTACCAAATGCAATCCCCAAAGGGCGCCTCTTTGAGGTCACAGAAGCCAGCACTGAGCATTCTTTGGCGCTTCTCGTTGAATTGGCCAAAACCGGGAGGAATCTTCCTGCCACCTGCAATCCAACTACGACAATTTGCAAGCTGCAATCCACAATGATTGTATATGTTCACCAGCCGGCACACAAATACCCCCAAATGTTCAAAGTCGGAGTTCGGATCCTCCATTTTTCCAGAGCAAGGAAGATTGAACTTGACAGTGACTGTAGCCGACTTCATCGATTCTTAAGTTAAGTGGCATCGCCTGTGCGACCATACCCCAGATCTGCGAGCTCCATGGACCATGGCCAATCTTTGGGTGAGACCAGTCGTCGCACAGCTGGCAATGGTTCCCGTTTTTGCCGCTTCTGTCCGTGAAGGCGCACCTCTGCAGATTCGACACATGACGAAAGTCCGCTTTGCCAAGGCAAAAGATACATCTCGATGCTCACAAAACCGCTTACAGTAACTGAAATTCACGCGCCTCCCAGGGTTCAAACTTCATGACCATCGCGTTGAAGCTGCGGACATCTAGGCCAAGAGAGATAGCAGTGGATTCCAAAGCCAGGTCTCGCTCGTGGTGCCAAGGTTCAAGCCTCTGGAAAACTTGCGGTGGCAACCTCTTTTTAGCAACACCAGGGATTCGTCCATAGCTCTGTATGCAAATGACTTGGTACATTCCACCCACAGGTTCTTCCACGACAAAAGAATTGCAAATGCAAGACAATGCTTTGTTTGGACCAGCGTTGGAAAGCATATCCCGGTCAGTGGCCATGGAAATCCGTGTCTCGGGAATAAGCCCCACCTTCTTTCCAAGTTCAGACAAAAAGCATAATGACACCAAATGACATTTTGGAGCCAAGTGCAACGATTACACGCTTACAGGCCCTTCTACTGCTAGAGCACAGCCTACCAGGCAAGGGCAAATAAATATAGATTGGTTAGGAGGTGTCTAAGCACCTTTCTAGCAAAACAAAAAGAACATTTGGACGTCCTGCTCATCAGTATCAAACTTAATGTCTTGAAAATGCTAAAGTCTTAATGTCTTGAAAATGCTAAAGTACAGCCCTGGTGAAGTTTGATGAGTTTGATGTACATAAAATATTCAAACGGCTCCAAGAATCTGCAGGTTAAAGTGTAACGCCTTGGCTCCAGAGCTCAGCATGACATCCATGACCTGCATTCGGCTGCGTGTTTGCAGTCTATTGTTTTGACTACAAAACAATGCAGGCTACTGGCTAGTCCAAAGGCTGAAGAAGTGCAAAGGTAACTACAAAACAAAGAGCTACATAAGTCATGTCCTGTCCAGTAAATCATGTATGTGCAGGTCAAATCACCGAAAGACTCTTGCCACCCGAAAATCCGAAGTTTGTTCCAACGTCCCCTCCTGCTCAATCAGGTTACCTTTCCTGTAGACGATGCGGCTTCCCAAACCCTGGAGGGACTTCTCAAAGCACTTCAGCGACTCCTGGCTGAACACAACAAAATGACAACAATGGAGTAACAATGGCATCTTTCCTGATTCGATGCATCTGCATCCTTCTTTCGAACATTCAATCTGATAATCCCCGCTACAAACAAGAGTAAGCGGCCAGGGAACATGTCGCCACCACAGCCCTGCTCCACGAACTGGCCAGGGAGATGGGTCGTTATCATCATGAACGAAAAGTGGCACCTGATGTCACACAAAGCGTAAAACAGAGTGTTCCAGGTCCTGCAGCTTGCTCGCATCTTTCTGTAAATCAGGCATATATCTCGAGAGCTGTCATACAGACTTGTTTTGAGCTTGGGCACGACCCATTCATGCATCTCTGAGGCTGTATGTAGTGCTGGGTTGTCATGCAATCTGCAGTCCTCCCGGATCAGGACAATGCCTCAGTTGGCAATGAACACACTTCAAGAGGCATGGAGCCCAGTGATGTTCCCGCGCACTCCGGTTCCTTCAGAAAGCCTTGAGGGCGTATTGGCACACACAGCACGGTTTTCAGTGTTTCGCTTTAAGCTGTGGCACATCCACCGGGCGACTCCGCTACTGGCTTCGTCTTCTTTGCACGTTGCCGTGCTCGGCGCCGAATACGAGCGGCGCCAGGCAATGCTGCGGATACATGAACCAAACTGTTGGTCATGTCTACCTCAGAGCTACCAAGCAAACCCATTTGCCTAGAAGAATGACACGGGTAGTGTCTTCACTAAATCACAATGAACCAGGTTGCACAGGGCACCTCTATACGTGCACCAAGACTGAAGCCGATGCCAATTTGTGACATCGGTGCAACTTGGGGAGCTTGTTCAAGAAACTTTGATGATGTCGAACAGATTGCAGTCAGGCGCCTGGTTGACCTGTTCTGGAACATCATCCAAGCGTTGCTCCTGCCAAACAAAAGAAGATCTTTACATGAAGATTCCGCAAAGGCACCAGTCTGCATCATATCTTAAAGCCAGGCTCAACCCCACAAACTTGGATTAAGGCGGGTCCCTCACCTTTTGTGCGTATGGGTTTCGCTGCGGCTGCAATCAGCATATATGCAAATTCTACACAATCTGGAAAGAAGTGTGTCAATGTGTAATCCCGGTTGAAAGAATCAACGATGTTTCACTGTAACAGCCAGCTCAACTTTAGCTTATCGATGCTACTACAGTACTGATTTCCCTCCTGTTGCTCTTCAGGTTGCTGAGTTGTGGTGTCCATTATCGCTGCATCAACATAGAAATGATGATTCGAGAGCCACTGTTGAGTGTGAACAGGGTTTGTTTTCTGGCTAGGTTTTGTGAACGTTTGGAAACAAAAATCCGCCCGCACCGAAGGTGCCGAGGCGTTCTTTTTTTGGGCACGCGCTATGCGTAAGCTAGCATATGCAAGCCAATAGCTTTAGCTAGGGGGGTGCATTTTCGCTCTTCCTGTGTTTTTTCACGTTTTTGGAACCGGCTTACAATGCTGGAAGAAGAATTCGTGCTATTTTGAAGCCCCTGGTGATGCAAGAAATGCCATTTTCTTCCTTTGCATGATTTGAATCATCTGAGCGGTAAAGTGTAATTTGACTGAGGCCGGACATTTGGCTGAACAGGCTCCCCTAACGTGGATCAACATAGCTTCCATATTGCCTAACATAGCCCTAGAAGTCACTATCTAAAGGACGTGTCTGCGAGATAGGGCCTTGAACGTCGTAAACATAGCCCAACGAGGGTTCAAAAGGGACTGGAATAAAGCCCCCCCC